GAGCCCTCCCCCACCCCTGCTGCAGCAGGCAGTGTCCACCCCACCACCCCCCCGCCCCACCTTCTTGCCCCCAACCCAGGACCCTAGGCCACCCCCTGCTCTAGCACAGGGTCCCCATGGCTGCACGGAGCGCTCACCTGAGGGGGCAAAGACACTGGGGCAGCAATAGCCCCTGGGGCACAGGTGACCCTGGAGGGGGCCAAGACCCTGGCCTGGTCCTGCCCTCACAGTCCTGGGGCAGGGCTCTGAACAGCAAGAGGTTGGATTCCCCCAGGAGGGCAGCAACAGCTGCAGGGGCTTGCGCTGCACTGCCCCTTGCCCCGGCTTGGGTGGCTGGAAGTGATGCGACAGGGTGGGTGCGGGTGTAGGTGGGCATGTACCTTTGCAAGGGCTGGAGTGTGCTGTGGGATCACGGCCTCTGCTGAGCCATGCCTGCCTGTGTGTGCAGCATCCCTGCGAGGCACATGGGCACGTGCCATCCCTGGGGATGTGCCAGCACACCCCCACACGTGCCTCGTGGAAGCGCACGGGTATGTATGCACTGCCGTATCTCACATGAGAGCATGCGAGGGGAGCAGGGTGTATGTGTGTGTGTGTGTGTGTGAGAGAGGGGTGAGGAGTGTGTGGGGGGAGTGTGCAAGGGTGTGTGTATGTAAGAGGGAGGTGAGGAGTGTGTGTGGGGGAGTGTGCAAGGGTGTGTGTGTGTAAGAGAGAGATGAGTGGGGGAAGTCTGCAAAGGTGTGTGTGTGTGAGCAGGGTTTGAGTGTGTGAGGTAGGGTGTGCACACAGATGTGTATGTGTGAGGGGCATGTGCACGTGGGGAGATACGTGTATGTGTGGGGGGATGAGTGTGTTGGTGTGACACCGGCAGGCCACACCATGTGCCACAAGGGTGTGTGCCTGTGGGACAGGGCACAGACGTGGTGCCAAGGGGGCCCAGGTGGGGCTGGGCATTAGGCCTGGGTTGACACCACATCTCAGCAGGAGCCTGACCCGAACCACTCAAGACTGCCGCCCCCACGGTGCCCACCCCGCACCCCAGCCCGCAGCCATGCTCCCGCCCAGGGCCCAGGGTGAAGCCGGATCCCACCCCGCGCAGCTGCGGCTGGGAGCAGGGGGCAGCCCGGGGCCGAAGGGGAACCATCCCACATGTGCATGTGCACACCAGGGTCCCATGCGAGTGCACCCACGTCTCTGTCTGTGCACGAGCCCACGCGACCCCCAGCTCGTCCTCCCCGACTGCGGCACGGAGAGAGCACCCATCTCCACCGCCCATCTCTGGGCCGAAGGAACCGCAGCCCTCACGCCCGCAGTGTCCAACAGGTTATATTTATATTTGAAGGCCGAGGCCAAGCCAAGGCCCCCAGACCAGGAAGGAGGCGGCAAGGCTGGTTACAGAAGCCACAACATCCCCCCACCCCCGGAAGGAGAGTCCAAGGGGCGGTATCGACCTGTGAGAGCCCCCTGTGCCCGCCCGGCTCCCCTCCATGCTGGCAACCAGAGACACCCCTACAGCATCATAGCAAAGCCTCATCTCTTAGCCCCCCCCCGACAGGCACATGCCAGCTGTCCAAGGGGAAGGACCATGCCCCTCCACCAACCTGCTCTATCCTCAGCCATCTGTGCCAGCCCTGGCTGATCAGAGCCGGCTTAGCCCCACCAGGCCTGGGGTCCACCCAGGTGGCTGGGAACAGCAGCAGCCATGCCCCCCACCCTCCTCAGCCAGCGCCAGGCCTTGCACCCGGCGGAGCAGCAGCCCAGAGAGCAGCGGGGCCAGCGGGCTCTGTGCCGGGGTTGGCTTCGGTTTGATTTAATCCCCAGAAACACTCTCATGCAAAAAAACAGACAACAGAAACTGAGAGAGAGAGACACAGCAAGCAAACCCAGCCGGTGCCAGGCCCCGAGCCCGCGCCCCAGCCCGCAGAGGTGGGGGTGGGGGGTGATGGAGAGGGCTTGCCCCCCTGCCCCTCACCGCCAGGCTTGACCCCGGCATCGTCCTCTTGGGGAACGGGGGGAGGGCGGGGAGGGGGCCACGGAGCAGGAGAGAGAGAAATGCAGCATGCCACACGCCCCGGGCCGCTCACGGCGCCTCGGCCTCGTCGTCCTCCTCCTCGTCCAGGGACACCACCCCGGAGGAGGCCACGTCGGAGACTTTCCGGCGCCCCCCACAGCTGTCCCCGTGCAGCTGGCACGGCGTGTGGGAGTCCTTGCCCACCACCTCCTCGTCCTCCGTGGGGGACAGGCAGGACTCGGTGTAGGACATGGAGTACATGGAGTCCTGGCAGTCCAGCTGCGCCAAGCTCCGGAAGGCACTGTGCCCAGTCTGCGGGGGCAGCTTGGCAAAGAGCAGCTCGTCGCCACCGGCCACGGCGCCCAGCAGCTTGGCGGCCCGCGCCGTCCCCACCGGCCACGGCGCCCAGCAGCTTGGCGGCCAGCTCGGCCGGCGAGGCCAGCTCCTTGAGGATGAGGCTGTCCTCCAGGCTGCAGAGGCTCGAGCACAAGGTCTCGGGCGAGATGGTCTGAGAGGAGTCGGTCTCGGGCTCACAGGAGCCCTGCCGCCCGCCCAGCTGGCCCAGGCGGCTGTGAAGCAAGTCCTTCAGAAGGGAGCCAGGCGGCAGCTGGCCCGCGGCATCTGCAACACACACATGGCAGGGCGGGCGCGTCACCACGGGCACCTTGGCCGGCTGGGGCCCAGGCTCGCCCCTGGGCCTGGCACCACAACCCCTGCCAGGGTACCCAGGGGTTGCCTGTTGCCCCTTGCCCCCACCCCATTGCCACCAACATGGCTTTCCCCCCCCCC